GGCGGCGGTTTCCCGACCTCGCCTCACAGGTGCCGCCAGGGGCGGGCGCTGAGGCGGGCTCGTGCCGCGCCGGCCGTTAACGGTCCCGCAGGGCGCGCGAGAGCCGCCCGGCTCCGCTGGCAGCTGGGGGAGCGCACGTCCACGGCAAATTAATTACGTTTGGAGGAAACTACATAACCAGTCGGACCCACTTCAGTGTTCTCGAGTGGTCGGGTTGTTCCTTTCCTTCTTAACAAGTCCGCCCATTATTCTCGGTTGTCTAACCGTTCGCACAAACCCGTGGTAGGTTCTCTGGTCCCTGGGAGTATTTGCTCTGTGGTAATCACTGTTTGCATGTGTGATTGATCGGTTTTTTGACCCTTAGATAAAGAAAAGACAAAGACAGACCAGCTAAATACCTTGTCTTTAATTAGATTTGCCCTTCTAAATGGTCATATTATAGAAAATATTTCATTCTTGCACAGCAAAAACCAACATGTGACAGTTCTATCACTGACATCAAGTGTAAGTATTCAGACAAAGCCAAACCCTTAGCAATCCGTGGTTTACAGTCTCTGTCTTTAATAGGACAAAAATTCTCTTAAACATGCTGTTTTAATGGCCATCTCATTTACTTATGCAGTTGTAAATGACCTACTGTTATGAGAAGACCATGGTTTCTATACTTTATTGTATTGCTTAGTATTACACACACATTACCAGATTCCCAGTGTTGTCCAGCATTAACTTTGCAAAAATCTTGGAAAAAAAACAGCCAGACTTCACTTTTGCCAAGTAAGAACACTTGATACTGAAACATCCTCATTACCCTGTTTCCAAAAACTTAAAATCTGACACATGAATATACTACACAGTTAGGTGTTCTTACAACTGCACTAGCAGGAATTAAACGCTTTAAATTGAGGTAAACTGTTAAACACTTGTTTTACTTTTGTAACTGTGGTCCAGATAAAAAGGTTTTAGCCTGACCTCTCAAAACCTTCTGTGATTATTTGTTTGACTAACATTGCAAAAATCTTCATATAAGGAGCAAAAATTCTAGTAGGGTAATATGTTAACAGTTTCCCTCACATTTGCTGGAAAATAATATTTGTAAGTTATAAGTGAACAGTAAAAAGACACCTTTTTATTAAAGAAGAGAACATGATTGAAACTATGTACTGTATTCAAATATCTGTTGCTCAGATCTGAGCAACTACCAAATGTTCTGAGTAACTACTAAATTTTTTTCATTTAGTTAAATGATTGTGGTGTGCCAAATTTGTATTTCAATTTCTTTTCCTGAGATGTAAACTCATGATTAAATAACAATGTAATAATGATAGTGTTCTTCAGACAATAAGGCAAGCTATGTTACCAGACAAGCATGGTAACTTTGACTGTCCACCGAATAAAAAGCTCTATAATGGCTTTGTTGCAGAATTAGGCTGGAAAGGAGGCTTGAACAGCATTCCATCTTTCAAATTAAAGTTAATATTTGATCTTTAACCATTCTTGGCATTATATTATATCTCAGTCCAGTTCCCTAATCCGAATTAGCAATGTCTTTTCCCTCAAATGGACTATTTTTTTCCTGATTCTATTTTGCTGCCTGTCTTCTGTCCAGTGTTTTCAGACTGATCGGGTCATTTGACAGGTATCGCCTTTAAACCTACTTCTGTTTAAATGTAAAAGAACAGGGCTGAGTAACCTGTTTCCGACATTTGGGTGATATGCAAACTGCAACTTTTAAAACATTATTCAGCCACCATAACTTAAAAATTAACGTACTTTACATGGTATAAAACAGTTATAAATAAGTGATAAACAGCTGTGCAAAATCACAGAATCACAGAATGGTTGATGTTGGAAGGGTCCTCTGGAGATCATCTAGTCCAACCTCCCTGCTCAAGCAGGGTCCTCTAGAGCATATTGCCCAGGATCACATCCAGACGGGTTTTGAATATCTCCAGCGAAGGAGACTCCACTACCTCTCTGGGCAACCTGTTCCAATGCTCTGTCACCCTCACAGTGAAGAAGTTTTTTCTCAGGTTCAGAATGAAAAATGAAGCGGTGCTAGAGCCTGAATCACAAATAAGTGTTTATTCTTATATACTATTTAGAGTAAATTGCATAAGAGCATCATTATTATGCTGACTCTTGCTTTCTTAAATGTTTAAGCAGCAATGTAAGTTAAGTTACATATTTTGTGTATTCTGAGTCATTAAGGCCATATTCTACTTTGTCAGTTCAAGACAGGACATATAAGGATGTATTATTTCTTTGACTATGTTCAGAGAGATTTGTATGATCACTTAAAGGACTACTATATTTAGTCATTTTAGTGTATTTTGGACCTGTTTTACTAAGAGTTAAAAAGTTGTTTGCAAAATTCCTAAAAGGAACACACATGTACCTATTGATTTAAAATGTATTTACAGTTGTAAATTAATGAACTATTTTCCCTAATTTACTGAGAAACTTCCATTTAGTACATTTCAGTACTGCATCAAAATTACTCGTTCTCTTTAGCGGGATGGGTATCACATAACATATCCCACGCGAAATAGAGATTTAATAGGCCATATCTAGTAAATGGGAAAGGGCCAGAGCACAGCCCAACCACTGCACACGATCATTTATACTGGTTATTTGTTAACCCACTGTCCAGGAACTGTTTCCAATAAGTGTTATGGGTAACTCCACTCTTTTCTGGTAGGGAAAAGACTTCAGTCACATGGATAGAAGTCACGTGGTGTAGCTTTCCATCAGGGTTGGAGAATAGGCCTTGGCATATTTTATTAACCTGTACAGAGAGTCATTTAAACCAGATTTTTCAAGTCTTAGGGATAACCCTGTCCCTCCTCCGCAAAAAATTTTATCAGTTAGCTGAATTGCTCTACCTATAGCTGTAGCTTTATGTCCACACCAAGGTTGTAGTGTCTATGCCATTCATTGCCCCTTTACATTCAGCTGTTTGATATTGCCTGTTGTAACTAGATAGAGCTCACAAAGTTCCTTTGCCAGGAATTACAACATCTGAGCATGGGCAGGGGAAATAATATCTCCAGCTGTTGCTGTACTGAGGAAATAGTGGATGCCTGTCCATAAACTGAAGGTATGAACAGATGATTACAAATGTAGTGCTCTTTCAACCAAAATAATAATTGGATGTGAGCACTGGTGGTATAAGTCCATTTCAGTAGTATATGCTCTTAGTCACTTACAATATCTCAATAAGAAAATAACCTCCACAAAAGGCTACTCTTAAGCATCTCTAATCGCTTCCAAATGTCTGAATATACCCTACTAAGATTCTACTGTGATTTAAAAAACCCTCTAGTTGAATAGTTATTATAGTTCAAAACTCAAATTCTTGAAATGCCATTACTCTGGCAAAGAAACTAGGAGAATTGCAGCTCAAATTTCTGTGATTTTCAAGTGTCAGCAATTAGCTTACATGCAGATAACATGCATGCTTTTTAAAACAATGTCTTTCTTTGAAGACCTACAAAAGAACACTTAGTGATTTTCAAAACAACCTTTCCAATCCATCACTGAGAAGGGGAAGTACTAAAATACTAGAATGTGCCCCTTACAGTAGAATATAGATTTCCTATTTTTTGAGAGAAAGAGTACACTTAGCAAAATGGCTTCAGAATTTTCAAATAAATCTGGATACAGTCTATTTGATGAAAAGATACTGATTATAATGAAGATATTCCAACGTTTAGGCAGCAGTTGAATTAGGAAGAAAATATGCTTGATTTCTGGGATCTACATGCAATCATGTTCTGACCATTTAAATGCCCAATAAGAATATATGAAATTTAATTGTGTTTGTTCTGTTGGGCTCTTGGGTTTGGATTTCCTTTGTAAGGACTTGGATTCTTCCATGACCTTAATCATTTAGTTTTTTTAGCTCAGATCAAAAAAAAGTAAGTGCTGGTATTTTCCCAAGTATCACCCAATGACAAAGTTACAAAAAAAAATGTAGAGCCTAG